TTTGCACAACTACATCCTACAATAATAAAATAATGGCTTCGTATCGCAAGTAGTTCTTCACAAAAGTGTAGAATATAGCCTCTTCAGCCTGACTGAATGGAGAGATTAGATGAAGTGAAAATGGTAGCTCACACTCACCTTTAAACTGAACTTCAGGACAGGTCATAACTAGTGTGTGTCTATGGAAATTGCTTGGCTTTTCACTTGAATATACATATCTGTCAACATTGGGTGTTGCTGAAAGCCCATTCAGAGGGTGAGTCATTCTTTTGTCCATATTGTAATGCGACTTTAATATGAAAAAAATTTGCTGAAAATATGGAGGTAGCTTTTTAAAATATCGTTGGTATCATTCAACAGCTTTTTCTTCTGCTATTAAAGAGCAGCAAGAGAGTGACATTAAGAGGTAAGAAAAAAGACATGGGAAATTTTCATGGGAAAAGAGTTAACAGGGATTTGAGGTACTGTACAGTATGTAATATATAAAGGGATTTCGTTTTTTTTCTTCTTCAAATTGTAATATCCTGCTATAGCACTTAAGCTAGACTGAGTCCTGAAAGAATATGTCTCATCATAAACTATTTAAATAGTAGTTTTAATTAAGGTCCTATTAGTTCTAAGGCCAAAATTATTAATTATTCTTTTTAAGGCTTGGATTTTGTATGAATCTAACAAACAAGTGTTTGTTTCTACATCCCGTGCAGGGATAATTCAGGATTTTGGAGTAACTACAGGAAGTTGCTGCCAGAAGACTTTCCTTTGTTCACGTCAAACTTGACACCAGAGTTACTGGAGTTAAGGATATCCATAGAAATGCTGGTCCTATCAGATGGTTGAGACTAGAAAAAAGACACAGAGAGACATTGGGAATATGAAATGTGTCAGGTGTAAAGCTTTACTTTTTCTAACAATCATTTTCAGCAATGTGTGGCACATTTTCTGCAATTTGTTTTAAAAAATGTCCAAATGTAATGCGAAGTGGCTGTTACTGAATGACTGGACAGTTAAAAACTGTATTGGAAACAATAGCAAACACTAAAATATGGCCCAAGAAAGGTTTACTCGCAGGCAGATGTTAACAGAAAAAAATTAAACGATTAAAAAACATCATATGACCCCTTTAATGATTTAGGCTGAGAAGGGTAGAAAAAGGGTTACCTCAGGGTGAGGTGTGAGCAGTGGTGCAGTTGGCGGCAATTCATTCATATTCAACACGCTGGGTTCAGGCCCAGGAGGAGCACTGCTCATTACTGGTGTATAGTTCTGAGGACACACAGTATCTTGTTAAGTTAATTTGTGTGGATACTTCAATGCAAGCAACTTTGAAAGACAGTAACAATGATTAAATCATATAAATGTATGTTATTATTAAAAAAAAATAGAAAGACAAACATTTAAAAGGTAGTTCACCCAAAAATGAAAATACTGTCTTCATTTACTCACCCTCAAGTTGTTCCAAACCTGTATGAGTTTCTTTCTTCGGTTCAACACAAAAATAATATTTTGATAGTTGACAGTAGCCATTGACTCCCATAGTATTCTTTTCCATACTATAGAAGTCAGTGACTACTGTCAGTTGTTTGCTAACCAACATAGTTCAAAATATCTTCTTTTGTGTTCAGCAGAAGAAAGAAACACATGTTTGGAACAACTTGTAGGTGAACAAATGTCAGAATTGTCAATCTCTTTAACTTTGTGTTGCCCCTTTCAGAGCAATTAATGCATTTGAATTTCATTTGATCCTTTACATATTTGCTTGCTATCTTTGATGACAAATAAGCACATAGAAATATAAACCCACAGGATGAAAAGCAAAGAGATTTGCAAAAGATTTTGGATGTACCACAGGTGCAGATGGGTTGTAGTGGGTTGGAGGGGCATTCCACTGGGGCGGCTGAGCAGGGGGAAGTCCAGGTCCAAAGGCAGGAGGGTAGACAGGGTTTTGATACTCAGGATAAAAGCCCTTAAAAAGCAAAATTGCACAAAATTGATTTTATTTTTTTTTACAGTTAAACTTAAATAAATAAACTCTGTACTGGTTTATTAAGTTTTGCATGTCTATACTGGTCCACCAGCTAAAATCCAAACCAGAATTCATGTTCGTCTTGGGAACCGTGCACACATAACATGTTTAGACCTTTCCACTGCTTGCTTTTATATAGTTTTTCTTTGTAAACATGCATTAGATGGACGCCTTTGTGAGTTGCTCTCGCATCTAGCACCGTTTACAGCAACTCACGCATGACATAGTGTTCCAAAATCATGGCGCTCGAATTAACTCTGCATTATTTTCACATTCTGCTGCACTAGAGCTATTTAAGCAATTTGGAACTTGTATTCAAAAGTTTTGAAAGTTGCTGCCACCTTAGGATGAATTTCTTGTGTTGTAACATTCCTTATTTGTCACTTTGGATAGAAGGATCTGTGGTAAATCTCTGTATGTAAACTTACAGGGTTGGGAGGAACAGCAGGTTGTCCGCTCGACTCTGGTGGATAAGGATAGTGAATCTGACCTTGATCTGGATGAGGCGGATAACCAGCGATGTAGCCCTTTAGTCAGAAACAACAAACCATTAATATTACTTACAATGTACACCAGCTACAATCACTAGATTATTCTAATGTCGCTTAGCATGGTTCTGTCACAAAGAGTTTAAAAAGTTTTTTTTTTTTTTATATATTGATTTTGTTTGCCTTTTTTTGTTTATAGGATAGTGGAGAATGGACAGGAAAGTGTAGGGAGAGAGACAGAATCTTCACATTTATTTTACCTGGCCAGTGTCTCCAGGACCTACAGGATCAGACATAGTGTTGCTGCAAGGTATAGACACTGGTACGGTGTTGGGCTGCCCTGTGTTTGTGTCTGATTTAGTGGACCGGCACCTTTTGCGGATTCTCTTTCTGCAG